ACGACAGTGAGCTGGTGAGTTCTGCTGGGGAGGGCAGTACCCTCAGGACAGGCCGTGGGAGGAAGAGGATGGGGGTGCTGCAAGCTGACCAGCTCCCCCCCAACTAAAGACTCGGCCTTGGGGGTCCAAAGGGAGAAAGGCACAACTTGCCAAAGAGCCACCTTGCGCCTCCTCTCTTGGGCCTTCTAAGCGTGGGGCTGGTGCCAGACAGGCCCACAGCTGGGAGTCCGGACCTACCCCCTCTCACCTTCTGTGGGCCACTCCCTCTGGCCCTCCTCCCCACTCCTGCCAGTGGGACCCTCTGGAAAGCCCTGGAAAGCCCTGCTTGGCTGCTAACACAGGAAGGGGAGAGGGGAGGCCCCGTGGGCGAGTTCCTGCTGAGGCTAACCTCTCAGCTGTAGCCCTCAGAGCCACAGTCATTTCCCTTCTCCCCTCCCCCACCCCCAGCTGGGACACCGAGAAATTTCATCACAGCTGAGTTGTTGTACTTATAAGGGAAGGGCCTCCCGAGCCTCTCCCTTGGGCCACGGCCAGCTGGTGGAAAACCTGGCCAGGCTTTGGGGTATCCTTCAGGTGCCAGGAAAGGTAGGAGTGCCCCTGTCTCCTGGGCCGAGCCTCCATCTAAAATCGCAGACCCTCCAGAGAAATAGCAGGAAGCAGTCAGTTGTGGCCCCAGACCAAGACCTCAAGCGGGGGTCAAATTCCAGGTCCTGACACTAACTTAGGTCTCATAGGCAAGTTGCTTAAGCCTCAGCTTCCTAGCCTGTGAAATGGAGTGAACATCACATCTTCCTTGTGAGGCCACTGTGGTGACAGTGACAGAACAACAGGCCTGGCAAATAGCAGGTGCTCTGTGAGGCCATGCTGCTGGGGTTTGTTAAGTATTTTCTATGAGGAAGGCCACCGGCCAGGTAGTGTTTCACAGCAGCCCTGTTGAAGGAGGGAGAATCAGTCCATTTTACAGACAGAAAAACTGAGGCACAGTTTGCCTGAGGTCACTGACGACCTCGTTTTAAATGGTTTGAATCTAGGTGTGTGTGCCTCCAAATCTAAAAGCATGATTTTTCTACTTATACCCTGCTGTTTTCTCCAGGAATTTTGTTTTTAAATAAAATTATGGCAAGAGGGAGGAATTTCCACCATCATCTCTCCTCCTTCCATGTTTCCTCACAGAGCCTCCTCAGTCACAGAAACCACCACTGGAGTGAGTTTGTGTGGGACTTGAAGACTCCAGAGACGCAGGATGCTTCCAGGGCCTGGGCTCAGGTGGGAGTAGAGAGGGGGCAATCCGGATACCCCTTCCCCCCAGGCCCTCCCCTTCTGTCCCGGGTCCCGGCTGTAGGTGGCCACTTTGTAGTTTGTAGAACCTGCACGGTAACTACCCACAGGACTTCAGGCCACTGATATATGGCAGCCTGTGTTCAAAAGGAGGGCTCCCCTTCTCTGCACAGGCCTCCACCCCAGGACCAGAGGGAAAATGTGCTTACCTCATCCTTCCCCAGCCTTGTGGCCGGCCACCAACACCATCCCAGCAGCTACAGAGCTCCAAGTCAGGCTGGCCTTCAAAGTGGCCTCCACAGGAGACCTAGTCCTGGCTCAGGGTTGAGGGGACACTCCCATGAATAAAGAGACTCCTCTCAGATGAAGGGGCCTGTGAAGGTGAAGTGATTGACCTGAGGTCCCCCAGCTTCTGCAGGACACTCACTCGGTATGGCTGTCATATGCCAGGCCAGAGGTAGGGAAATTGAGGAGGGACACGAGGGTCATAGCCACAGTTGAAAGGCCCTGGGTCAGGTGCTTCCTGTTATGTTGGCCACCGGGCCTGTCCAGCAGCCCTCACAGAGGAAGGGAGCCAGCCTTTGGAGAGCGCAGCGGTGCTTTCCCACACAGGGGAGTGGGGGCATTGCAGTCTTTTGTGGATGAGGAAATTGAGTTCCCTTGAAACTGAGACCCACCCAAAGTCCCAGGGTGGGATTTGAACCTTGGCAGCCTGACTTGGAGCTCTGTCCACTGGCCCAGAAACTTCCCAAGAGTGCTCGGGGAAGCCCTGAGGTTCTGCTGACACGTGTCAGGTGGCCACAGGCCTAAAACAGGGCCCAGGCTCACCCTCAGCCAGGACCGGGCTCTGTGGGTAAAACAACAGCTGGAATCATCATTTTGAAACCATTATAGGAAACACCTGTTCAGCAAGCATCATCAGTGGATACTAAATCTGGGCGAATTTGTGGTGAGGTACAACATATTTGCATGATCTCAAGATGTCACCCACAGTTTGTTTATTAGTTGCAAGAGGAAAAAAAAACATCAATTATACAGTAGAAAAATCAGACACCTTGCCCAGGTGATCAAAATGAACATCACACCAAGGAGGGGCAGATGGATGGTGCCTCCAGATGTGATACCCTGAGGACACATTATCACTCACGCAGTTCTCCCGACATAATGCACAACCTCAGTCTGATCATGAGGAAACCTCAGACAAACCCCAGTGAGGCCCGATCTATTAGAAAGGGGAGGAGGATTGTATTCTTCAAAAATGTCAACATCATCAAAGACAAAGAAAGCCCGTGGAAATGGTTCAGATTAAAGGAGACTAAAGAGAGATGACAACTGTATGCAATAGCTGACCCTAACTGGAGGAAAAATACAATTGAGGATAATATTGGCTCAAATGACAAAATTGGCATATGAACAATAAATGTATTTATGTCAAATTACTGACATGGATAACTGTACGTGATTACGTGAGAGGAGATATTTATTTTTAGGATATACACACTGGATATTTTAGGGATAAGGGACCAAGATAACTAACTTTCCAATGATTCAGGAAAAAATGATGTGCATACGTGAAAGAGAGGAAGTGCTCAAAAGAGAAAACAATGGGTCGATTTGGGTACAGTAAATGGGTGTTCTCTGCGCTATTCTTATTCTTGCAACTTCTGCCTAAGCTTGAAATTATTTCCCAATAAAGTTTTTAAATATTGAAAAGCACTGTTCCTTGTGACACTTAGCCCCAGCCTGTGGAAACGGTGGGATTGGGGTGTGAAATCAGAGGGCCTGGGGTTAGCAAGGACAGAGCAGGCAGTGCCACCAGCCCAGAGGCCAGCCCCGGAGCCGGCCCCACACCAACAAACAGGCTTGGGCAGAGAAGTTCCGAAAAAAGGGATTTATTGCCAGAATTCAAGAAAGGTGCTTCATAAGCAGAAGACAGAATGCCATCGCCCTGAGGAGGCGGGCAAGGCAGCCCTGCGCATTGCTGCTCCTGCCCTCCTTCCCTGGAGGCCAGCTTCCCCCAGGGCCCGGGCTGCCGAGGCATGAGAACCCCATGGGAACCAATGGCGTTTGGCCATTGGGGTGGCCCCAGAGCTACTTGCCCAATCTGGTCACTTGACAGAGGAAGATGAGGCTCCAATTCCTGGAAGTAGGTAACTTGGCTAAAGCCCCAGCCAGCCTGGCTGCTGGTAGAAGGCTGTTCCCTACGGGAAGATGGCAGGGGTCATGTGACTGTGGGCGCCTCATGATGCTCTTGCCTCTGTACTGGAGAGAGGGGAGGACAGGCAGACTGTGGCAGGGGAGCCTGATGGGGGCTCAGGGCCAAGGCGCTGCCACTCACCTCCACTCCTGCTGGTGCAGGCTAGAGCCCCCGCCCTACAGAACAAAGTGACAGTACAGTACAGTAAGGCCTCAGCAGGCACAACTGGTGGCTGGGGTGGGGACAGAGGGCAGAAAGGCCAGGGTGTGCTGTTGTGACCCTCGCATCTTCTCTTTCAGTAAACAAAAATGCACATGCAGAACTCTCCCGGCAGGTCCTGTTGGAAGCTGCTCGCATCCCCACAGGCCCGGGGAAGAGTGGCTGGAGAACCAGGCCCAAACGTGCCACCCGCAGGGCCTTTGCACCTACAGGCTCTGCCCTTGGTCCAGCTGTTGCAACAGGGCGAAGACTGGACGTGCTCCCAGAGCCAGGACAGTGGGGGCTGGGGAGTGAGAGGGTGTTGGGAGAGGACCAGGGTACAGGGACAGACCAGGAAAGGGAGAGAAAATGCTCCTTCTACTAGGAAATTATGGGGGAGCAGCCCATCTGGGGCCTGAGCCACAGGGCCAGGGGGGAAGAGGAGAGAGGGAAGTGGTTTCAGACCCCAGCATAACCCCGTCAGCATCTGAAGAAATGACTGGGATACTGGACTTGTTTGGGCTGAGAAGGAACCGCAGAGGCCCCGACAAATCCCCATCTGAGGGCTGCACAGAAGTTGGGGGATTCTCTTCTGAAGGTTGATTTATGATAATTACATAGAGATTTTTCTGGTGTTGACATGGGGGCCACCCTAGGGCTCACCTCTTCGGGAATGTGCAAGGGTGGACACAAGCTAATCTGGGGCAGACAGACACTAGACTAGGAGACCCTTTGAGCTCCTCTTCCAGCCTGGATTCCTCCAGATTAAGCCCTCCCTCACGGCTGGCCAGAGGGGAAGGGGCTGCAGAAAATGCCTTGGTTTTGCAGAAAAGGAAACAGACTCAGAGAGGGGCCACACAGCAGATGGCATCCTCACACAGGTGCCTCTCATCTGCCTTAGGAGGCACCAGAGGGGTCCTGGGTCTTCCCCAACTGAGGGATAAACCTATAGCCTGGACCCGAGACCTCTGCAGCTACTCAGAATAGGCGGGAGGGGCAGGCTTTGAGGCTGCCTTGCCATGAAGCTCTTTGCCTGGGAATACCTGGAGATGGGGGCTGCAGGGGGCTCAGCTGTGCTGTATTCAGAAGTCGGGACTGTAAACTACGAGGGGTGGGGAGCAGAGATCATGCCACCACCAGAAACCCCAAGTGCTATGCCAAAGCCTTGGGGCAGTTTGGAACAACCACACAAGACATAGGTCCCAGTGTGTGTGCTCCCAGTGTGTGCTCCCAGGCCCAAAGCCCAGAGGACAGGCCAGACAGCCAGATGGTGGCCCTGGTGGCACCTGGAGCCACTGGCCAGAGCAGGGCAGGAAGGATACCAGGAGTCTCTTCCGGTCCTGGCCAAACCCTGACATGCCCAGTGGCCCTTCTGCAGCCTGAGCAGAAGCATATTTCTCAGCAGGGCTGGGCTTTGATGGACGGAGGTGGCCAGGAGGGACTGTGCCTCTGGCCCAGTGGACCCTAGGGTGCACTTCTCCTGTACAGGGTCACCAGCTCCTTCTGCTTCTCCCTTAGCCCGAGTGCTTCCTGGCTCAGCTCTCCCAGATCTCTCATTTCCTGCAGGACCTGGGTGGCCTGCCTCAGTTGCTCCACGGCCTGGCTGAGCAATGTCTCAGCATTCACAGGGGCCGGCTCACTGCCCAGCACCTTGTTCAGCAGTTTCTCTGTCTGTTCTGAGGCCACCTTCACCTCCAGCTGGGCCCGATACAGCCGTTCCCCAGGCTTCCGTGGACGCCGGGGGCCTTCCCCAAGCAGGTCCCCCAGGGAGGAGCAGCGGGGATGGAACTGAGGTGGCAGGTCCCAAGGGGGCAGTGCTGTGGATGTTCTTGCATCCTTTGGGGGAGTTCCTGTGGCCTGGGATGGCTTGGCAGGCTCAGGACTGTCATCCACGCCATTCACTGAGACCTGCACCGGGTCTGGGGCAGAGGTCTCAGGGGCCCCAGGACTCTGGGCTGGCCCAGAAGCCTTCATGCAAGCTTTCAGTTTCTCCGATAAGATCTTAGGCGGGGGTGTAGGAGGCTTCCCACCCTCCCTGGGTGTGGCCTCTGAAGTCTCAGAACAGGGTGCCTGGGATGGTTCTGCGCTCTCTGGAGCAGGGAGCTCCTGGGGGCTGGGGTTCTCCCAGCTCACCTTCAGTTTGTCGGCCAGGATGCTGTTGGGGGGCTGCTCAGAGCCACTGTCCTCCCCTGCTGGGGTCTCTGAGTCCTCTGGGCTCTCAGGGTGGACTTCAGAGCTAGCTGAGACAGGAGCTGGGGCTCTCTCTCCCGCAGGGGTCTCCACCGTGTCACTAAGGCTTGTCGTCTCGGGTGTTGGGGAAGGCTTCGTCGGAGGCATGGGGGGCCGGGGTGTCTCCCGGGGCTGGTCTGAGCTGTCATCATTGCTGGGGGCAAACACTGGTGGCCCACTGTCCGGAACATCAAGGTCCAGGCGCAGAAGCCCGTCAGAAGCTGCGCTGGCTACCTGGTGGGGGATGGTATCAGGTGTCATCTTGGCCGACTGGCCATTGGGTCAGGCGTGCCCACCTACAGGAGTTCTCGAGCCCTCCTCTCAGGCCGTCCAGGCCGCTAGCCCCTGTCCCTCTGCCCTGGCTTCCTAGGCTACTTGATTAGAAGCTAAAGTGATTTCTTGATGAATCCTCTCCTCTCCATCACTGCCAAAGAATTCTCTATTTTGGAATCACTAGCCAGGAAGTCAGAGCCAGGATGTCCTCTTGGAGGCCCAGCCTGGTTTCTTCCAGCTGGAAAGAGACTCTTTTTAGGAGCAACTATGCTGGCCTGGGCAGCAGGGGACATGGTTCCAGTCCCGTTTCTGACCCCTACCTGGCTGTATGGCCTTGGGACGGTCCCTTTTCTGCAGCCCACCCACCTACCACCGGCCCAGTATCCCCACAGCCAGCTGGTGACAGGACCAGGACTCACATATAGGTCTCTCGAGTCACCTCGAGCTCCTTCACTTCTGCATGCCCTTCCAGAGACCTGTGTCCCAACGGCCAGCCCTTCTCCAGCCCTTGCCTGCCCAGCTGCGCGGCAGCCTGTGCCCACTCTCCACACGTCGTCAGGCCACAGCTGACCGCCACAGAACAGCTGCGCCAAGGCTCCAGGGGCCCACGGAGACACCCGGCAGCCCCGCGGTCATGGGGACCCTCCAGGGAGCCTCAGGGGCCCTGGAGCAGGGCTGGGCAGGGGGCCTTTCCCAAGGCCCCTCAGATGGCTGGGACCCTCACTCCCTTTGACATGCACCACAGGATCTGGCTGGCACACGCTCTCAGTCACTAGGGACCGCCAGAGACACCCCAACACACACCCACACGCTGCTCCCTCCCTGCCCCGCCACCCCAGAGCATTCCCCTTCTCTGGCTACTTCAATGGCTCCCTCTGCGGGCTCCCCTGCTGACAGACAGGCACAGCCTATCTCATCACAAAAACAAATCCTCTGGTGACCTTGGGTCCTTCCCCACATGGTGTCACCCCCACCCCACCCCCCTGCCCTACATGGACTCCTTCTCTTAGGAAATATGCCATAGACGCCACCACCTGCCTTTTCCTCGGTCCTGCCCTTGTGGCTGCCAACCTGGCTGATGACCCCCTGGTCCCATGCCCATCTCTCTCCAGATGTGCCACTTGCCTCTCTGGCTTCCTCTTCCTTGGCTCCCTGCTGAGCCCCCTCCAAGGTATCATTTGCTGAGGCTCTTTCCTGACCTCCCAAACCTCCCCTCGCCTGCCCATCAGCTTCTGGCCCGAACAAGGCTCCTCGCTTGCCCCTCCCCCTCACCTCTACCTTCTCCCAAATTCCCTGTGCCCAGGGCCTCCACGCGCCAGGACTCCAGCCTTGGGGCACCTCCGACAACCTGCCCTCTGCCCAGTCCCGTATTCAGTCCTAAGCCTGGGTAGCTCCTGCTTCCCAGTGTCTCTCCCATGGACACCCCCTCCTTGAGCCTGGCAAGCCCACCTCCCCCACCCCCTCCCTGACCCCTGCCTTTCCCTCTCCTTGCCCAGGGCCTCAAACTGACCTCTGGAACACACTCTCCCACCCAGCCCCAGCTCTTGCAGCCAAGGCCGCCAGTTTCCTCCCCACAACCCACCTTCTCAGACCAATCTCCCAAGCAAACGGAGCCACTCACTCGCCGCACCTTGAACCAGCTCACGCCATTCCTCCACACGATGCCCTCGCTCCAAGTCCACCACCTGAAACCCCTCCCATCCTTCGAGGGGCAGCTCAAATGCCAGTGGCTCCTCATGGTCCCTCCCGCTCTGACCTCCCAGATCTCTCCCCTATACAAAATCAGAGAGGCTCTGCTTGAAGCAGTCTGTGGACAGGCCTATGTGCCAGCTGGAAGCTGAGCCCTAAGGGGAAGGGACTACCCTCACAGGCCTCAGTTTCCCTGTGGTACCAACTCTGGCTAAGGCCGGGTTCGACATGTGTATGGATTCGACAAATGAAGGAGGCTGTGGGCTCAGAGACATCCACACCCCGTGTACATATGACACAGCTGCCCCCAACACCCTTCCTGTACACCACTCAGGAAGCCCCAACTCCAGGTGTGCTCAGGGAAAAGGTGGCCCCGAGCCTGGCTGCCACCCAAAGGAGCTGGATCCCAGGCTCCACTGCCTCCCACCATCCAAGCTGGGGCAAAGCCTTACCTCCTTCAGGTGGATTCTTGTTGGTGGCCGGCGCCGCTGGCCCCCCCGCACGCGGTCCCGTGTTACATGCTCCAGGGCACAGCTCTTGTCCACCTTTACCTGGGAGGGAGAAGGAACCAGGTCAGCCCCCACCAGGCCTCCTTGGGGAAAGTGGGAAATACCCAGGCATTGACTTGACTCAAAGGCAGGGTCAGTGTCCCACCACTGTCCTCTCTTTGGGTGTCTCCCTGCTTCTGGAACCCTGCTTCCCTCTGTGACTCTACACTGCCACTGGTGGTCTCTTGCAGAGTTTGAGGCTCTCCCTCTCTGCAACTGCCCTTCTTGCCTCAGTCTTCCTGCCCAAATAAGAGCTATCAGCCCTTGCCCCTGAGTCTACTGCAAATTATATAAGCAATGCTGAGGCTGCTTTGGGGAATAGCTGGGGGAGGGACCCATGATTCCCTGGTACCTGGCTTCTGCCACTCTCCCAGGACCTATAGGGTAACCCAGGAAAGGGGAGGGCCTCTACCCCTTGGGCCTGGGTGTCTGGAGGGCAGCATCTTCTCTCTGAGGGTAAGGAAAGGGAGTCAGGAGTAGCTGGGAAGCCTCCGAGTAACATTAACATGGGAGGCCAGGCGCCATGGCTCATGCCTGTAATCCCAGCACTTTGAGAGGCTGAGGCAGGAGTTTGAGACCAGCCTGGGCAACATCGCAAGATTCCATCTCTACAAAAAATAAAAGAATTGGCTGAGCATGGTGGCATACGCCTGTAGTCCCAGCTACTTGGGAGGCTGAGGCAGGAGGATCGCTTGAGCCCAGGAGTCTGAGGCTCCAGTGAGCTATGACCACGCCACTGCACTCCAGCCTGGGTTACAGAGCAACACCCTGTCTCAAAAGAAACCAGATTCATGTGGGAGAGCCGGACTCTGAATGCCAGAGCAGCCTGCCCCTGTGATGGGGAGTAGGGTGCTCAGACCCAACTGGGGGTCTGTCTCTGTTCCTCGATGGAGAGGTGGGCCTTGTTCCACCAAGACGGTGGGCTGAGACCCAGCTCATGGCTCCTGTGGCCTCACCTAACATCTATGTTATGTCCCATCATCCCTCTCCCATGGAATGGGGACATTTCCCCCCAGGGAGTGAAGGCCTGAGCATGACACAGTCACCCAGTACATGACATAGGAACCATGGACGGAGAGTCAGGGGACGTAAGTGTTAATAGGGGACTTGCTTGGGAAGATTCTCTCCCCTCAGGTCTTAGTCTTCTGCAATTCAAGGTAGGCATCACCCTGGTGGCCCCCAGGCCCACTTTAGTGTGAACAGCAAAGGATCCATGATGTCAGAGACAAATCCTCCCTAGGAGATCCTGGCCTCGTGGGATAATCCTGCCCGCCCCAAGCCTGACTGTGGCCACTGTTGCCACGGTCCCCACTACAGTGCAGGGGTTGAAGTCTGCAGACAGACAGGGAAGCCCAGGGCTGAGAGCCAGCCCGTCCTGGGCTTCATGGGCAAACTGGAAAGGGAGCTCTCAGCTTACCCCCCAGCTCGCTCTGGCCTGGGCCCACTTGCTGTTTCCACTGAGACTGGGTTGGAAAGGATGCATGTGGCAACCAATCAAATTCTACCCCACCACTTACCTGCCTTTTAATTTAAAACCAGTTACTCAATTTCCTTATGCCTCCATTTCATCTGTAAAATGGGGACAGCACCACCTACTTTGAGGGGCTGTTGTGAGAATTAAATGAGGTAGCAACAACAGATGCCCCATCGCAGTGACATAATCATGGGTGATCGGGGTGAGGTGGGGCTGGGTCCTCTCCCAGACCACACACGGTGGGACAGGGGACACAGCTGTCCATGGGACTGCATCGCACCTCATCGAAAGCCTTGTTCTTGCCTCGGTTGATCCCTTCATTGAGGGCTTTGATCCAGGAATCCTTCTCCTCCCCGCTGGGTGCCTGGAATTTGATGTCGCTGACCTGCAGGCAAGATGGGTGGTGTGGGTGGCAGATGTTTGACAAGGTTCATGTCTGGCATCTTAAAGAGGCTTCCCACTGCAGATCCCAAAGTCAAACCAAAATGACCCCAACAACAGGTCTCACATCTGGACTTCAGGGTAAAGGAAGGGAAAGATCCAGCAGAGAAGGACCCCCACCCCCCAGCACACGGCTGCCAGAGGTGTGGATTGGAATCAGCTTTGCCCCGCAGAAATAGCCTGGATCTGGTCCCATCCCACGGGACTCCACAGGCCAGCTGCCCGCTCTCTGTGCTTCAGTTTTCTTTGTAAGTAGGAACAGTGCCGGTCTACATCCACGCCAGGCTGAGTATGATGACAGAGGTGACAGGCGTGAGGGGTGTCCAGTGGTGAAGGCCCACTGGAACCATGGCCACCTCCAGCTCTCCAGTGAACCCCACACCTAACCCTGGCCCCAGTGGAAAAATATGGATTCCTAAAGCCCCAGTTTCCCCATCTGGCCTTGAATCAGAAACTATAAAAGAGAAGGGCACTGGAGGGTCAGTTCCAATCCCCTCACCACACACATGACCAAACTGAGGCTCAGCAGATGGGACAGGACTTGGCCAAGATGGCCTAAAGTAGATCCCATGGCTCGTGACTCCCCACCCCACACCACTCATGGGTCCCTTCCCATCTCAGGCCAGAGCTTCGAGCTCCTATGTTAGAATCAGGGGGCAGCTCGGAGAGCCCCATCCCTGCCAGGCCCAACGCCCAGACAGGATGTGAGAGGAAGGAGCGTGGCCGTGCAAACACAGCCGCTTGTGCCGCAGATGGCGCAGTAGGGCCTCTGAGCCAGAAAGTCCACCACTTATAGGTATCTGACCTTGGGCCACAGTTTCCTCATCTGTAGAAGAGAATACCACTACAACCTGCCTCGTGGAGCCATGAATATCAGTAAAAACTGATGTATAACATCTAATTTGTACACCCATCCTCATAGCATTATTTGCAACAGCCAAAAAGGGGAAGCAACCCTGGTGTCCATGACAGATGAATGGATAAGCAAAATGGGGTATATACACACAATGGAATATTACTCTGCCTTAAAAAGGAAAGAAACTCTAGGCTAGGTGCAGTGGCTCATGCTGTAATCCTAGCACTTTGGTAGGCTGAGGTAGGAGGATTGTTTGATTGTTTGAGACCAGGAGTTCAAGACTAGCCTAAGTAATACAGCAACACTCCAGCTATAAAAAATAGAAAAATTAGCTGGGCATGGTGGCATGCACCTGTAGTCCCAGCTACTGGGGAAGG